CTGGTGCATCTAATTCCCTACAGGTAAACACAGAGGATGTTATAATCAAACCATACACCTAACAATGGCATTTTTGAAGTAAAGAACGTATTACTGCAGTCACTTACCCTGAATTAATCAAACTGCAAGCAGGAATCACACGCCAGTTGAGTTTCAGCAAGTGGCTGATTAATTGATGTAACCTGTCTGATTCTGTCAGGACTTTAAGCCCATCAACTTCCTCCTGCAAGTATGGCATATCTGCCCCTTTCCAAGTACTACCAAGGTAATCAGCATGGCTAGTGATGAAATGGCGCTTTCGTTCAACTCCCTTCTCTTTGTTATTAACTAAAAATGCCTCACCACACAAAACACACTTTCTTAAATAGATGAACTGTTGAAGATCACTTTTCTGTACATGCCTCTTCTCTCTTGTTTTTATAGATTTGTAGCACTGGAATTGACACAAAAGAGACAAGACTTAGAATGCAATATTCTATGAATATCCGTGCAGCATACATATAATGCAGTGATTAGGTATACATATGTTTAAAACACCCGTGTGACTGAATAAACATCAATCAGGTCAGAACTACATTAAATGTACCACATGATGCTGTTCATAATGTACAGAAAATTTACCTCGTCTTGAAACCAGGGAATTAGTGGGGTGGGCATAAACTTGTCGTTCCCATAGTTCCAGGTTAATTCTTCACCAGCAGTCAAATTTCTGCAGATTAATCTGGCTAGGTGCCTCTTAGTTGAATTGTACGGCCTGTCGACTTCTACTGTTGCCAGCTTGCTTGTCCCACTTGGCATCCAATTCATGTAACTGGCTGGACCACCCATAAAGAGCCTAGTTTCCGATGCTAGATCTTGTACTGGCGACCTTTCATAAGGGTGAGCGCAAGGACTCACAGGATCACCAAAGGATGTAGGTTGAGATGGTGGTGGTACAGCACACCAGCCTAATATCAAGTTATCTTGAACTGAAAATGAGATTGTACCAGGGTAACTTTTCTTAATCCTCAGGCGGTAGCCTAACTGCGGGCTCTTTTGGTCAAAGAAAATTTCAAACATGTGCTTCGCTCTTTCCCACATCAGACTAACTTCCTCCTTTAGTTTCTGCAGCTCAGTTTCACTCACAGCGCCTGCAACAGATGTTAAACTGTAAGTACCGTGGTCTTCTACCTCAAGAAATAGTACAGTATTAGGAGCCTACCCGAGTTGTCGTTTTCAACTGCAGAACATGTCCTGAGTGGTGCACCCAACTTGGTAGCACAATCATTGTCGAAATCCCACATATGACGGAGTTGAGCGTAAAACATTGGAAAGAATACAGTTCCCGGTCTGTGGAAATTTTAACTGATGTGAACAGCTGTTGGAGGTTATGTCACAGCGACAGCAGTCAAAAGCTAACGTACCTCGCAGCAGCTCGGGTGTTAATCGATGAGGCTGAAGGAAGAGTGTTTCCCTCATAATCTCTCTTCCGACTTCTTGTTTGCATCTTAAGTAGCGCTTTCGTGCGACGGGAAGAGGAAGAATCGATGGGCCTGCAACTAAAGATAAGAGCAACACTGTATGGGAAGCTTAGGTAGACTTCAGTAAAACCACGGTGATATTCGGAAAGCTCGTAATATTTGACGTGTAGTGCGGAATATCCACTAACCTTCTTGTGAGTTGTAAGAAAATACTGGGCTGGCTGGCTGTACAGCTTTATCGGGCCGCGTCTGTTCGTGTTCTGTGATAGCGCAAAACCGCACTAGTCTTTAACAAGAAGACCGGATCTGGTATGAGAAATTGCTGCTTTTGAGCGTCCGCGGCGCCGATCCGCCATCTTGTTTCCATAACCGGCGTAAACAAGTGTCGGTAAGGAATAAATACATCAATCTGCGTTATTTAGAGTATGTCAAAGGACTAAATTAACAAAATGTGACAGTATTATCTTGTGCGATGCCTCAAAACTCGTATTTACGGTAGTTTCGCGTCGCGTCGACCTGTCTTGTCGTTTGAAATACGGCTGTCGCCTGTGGCGATTTCGGCTCAGGACAGTTCATAGCTTTTCAAACAAAAACAATACTTTTGACTGACAAATTTCGTAATTTTGATGGTTCGTTTGTTTTTATTTTGTGTTATTTTTGTATGATATCTCAATGCTGTGTCCTGTCTGTAGGTTATGTGACATATGTCTTGGTAGGATGGGCTCCCTAAAAGTAAGTCTTGTTTAACCTATTTTTTTAGTATTTTTTTTGTGGCTTTTCAGTTGTGCTGCATTTAATTTATGATATTCCATCCAACTAGGATACTTGGAGGAATGATATGCCACCTGAGTCTCCTGCTGTGGTTCTTTACCCACCTGTTACGTCAAATTCATGGGACCCTAGAATTGCGCATCGTGACATTGGCATTTCAAACTTTGGAAACACATGTTTTATTAATGCTTGTCTACAGGTAATTTTCGATCCGATAAACTTATGACATTCTCTATTTTTGTACTTTTCTGTTTCACTGAAGTGTCATGCACTTGCTAAACATCTGTATGAATGTTTATTAACAGATGCTATTTCATGTGCCAAATATTTTAAAATGGTTGGAGACGACTGACCATTCATCTAAGTGTAAACTGTCATTAAAGTGCATGACATGTTTCATGCTCAAAACGTGGCGGCAATACAAATGTTGTAGAGACCCCAATATACAACCTGCTGCTTTTGTAGCTGTCATTCGAAAAAAGTAAGAGATGTGTGTGTGTCTTCTCTGCAAATCTAACTGTATAACAACTTGACAGTTTAAACTGCAAAACAAAAAGTTTTGCAGTTTAAACTGCAAAACTATAAGTCTTACAGTTTAAACTGTAAAACTGGAAAGTTCTACAGTTTAAACTGCAAGACTATGTAGTTCAACAGTTTGAACTGTCAAACTAGCCCTATGCAGTTGTGCAGTTTAAACTGTTGAACTACACAGTCTTGCAGTTTTAACTGTAGAACTTTCCAGTTTTGCAGTTTAAACTGTAAGACTTTTAGTTTTGCAGTTTAAACTGCAAAACTTTTTGTTTTGCAGTTTAAACTGTCAAGTTGTTATACAGTTAGATTTGCAGAGTTGGTGTTTAACTATTGATTCATTCTTTTTTCTTTTGTCAGTGGGCTTCAGAACACCAGATGATGAACTTGAAAGTAGTTCTCAAGCAGTGGCTCGGGAGAATTTCCTGAGTGGTGAGAAAGTTGAAGGGTACAAGTGTAATTTCTGCAGGACACAGCAAACTGTTCAGAAGGAGTTTAATTTCTATAAATCCCCGCCCATTGTAATCTTCCAATTGAAAAGGTTTACACTATGCTTCAGTTTAACTTATCTATCTTTAAAAAGAAAAATTACATACAAACATCAAGATTTCTGAATTGCCAATGAATATTTGTTGCAGATTTCGACTTGATAAATCAAAGAACAATGAACCTGTCTGGGTTGACCAACATGCCATGGTAAAAGATAATTCTGAAGAAAGTCAATAAAACCTGATAGGAGCTGTGCTCCATATTAGTAAATCTAAAGAACAAGGACACTACATAACTATTGCTCAGTGTCCTGATAAGTCTTGGGTCAAGTTTGATGATCAAAAAGTTAGTCGAAATTCCTAAAATTTACTGCTCTTGAGAATTTGTTGTGGACTACTATTTTATTTTA